GAGAGAGAGAGAGAGAGAGAGAGAGAGAGAGAGAGAGAGAGAGAGAGAGAGAGAGAGAGAGAGATTAATAAAACTGAGTATGGCTGAAATGTGGTTGCTGGTGTGGGCTTGCTGTGCACTGTGGACACAGGTTCATGTACTCGTTGTGGCCCATCTTTGGATTTTTAACTTTTCCTTGTCTGGTGAGTATTTATCATGAACCCCATTGACTAGCTCATTAGCTCCATTAACTTTTCCTTGTTTGTCGAAAGTACATGAACGAGTTCAGGAGATGACAGGCTTCAGACACTTGCAGTGAGGAAGCTCAGGTTTTTTTGTTTGTTCATCACTATATAATACTATAATGTAATCTGTGTCTCGATCTCAATCCTCCCCCCCCTCCATTATGTCCATTATAATCTATGATGTGGTCATGAAAAGCAGTCAGCGAATTTCTGCCTTTCCTCTGCACGGTGATTGCTTCTGGAGGCTCAGCTCAAAAACACATAACATCGAAAAAAAACGATTCTCCAGACGGATCACCCACCCACTCCAAGCCAACTGGTGGCAATCACTATGCCAAAATTTTCGTTCAAATACAGAACAATGTATATAGTCATCCTGTGCAACGATGTCCGTTTTGTATTTGAATGAGATTTTCAACCATATGCACGCGTCCTTTAGGACATCCGTTAAAATTGGAACGATGCAGAGAAAGAAGAGTAGTAGTAGCATGGCCTCTTCGCGAGGATGATGGATGACACGCATAGATGGAGAAATGGTCCGAATTCTCTGTTAATTTGTTAAAAAAAAAAAAGAGATTTCCATATGCACGCAGTGCATGGCATGGTAGGCAGCAGCGACAGGCAGGAAAAGGAAAGAACAGTGCAAGGAAAGCTGGGAGGAAGACAAGGTGGAGAAGAGGAGGTATATATTTGTTTAAAAAATTAAATAGAAGTAGGAGATCCCTGGGAGGAAAGAGGAAAATTTTAAAACAGACAAGAAAAGAAGAGCAGTGGAAGTGAAAGTTACTGACCATAAAGCCACCATAAATGCGGTGTTGCTGTCCTCCTCCTCCTCCTCCTCCTCCTCCCGACTCTTCTTGCCGCCTCAACTTGTAAGCATGAGCTGCTTATCAAGATGAGAGGCAATCAGTGGAAGTGAAAAGTGTTGACCATAAAGCCACCACTTATTTCATGTCACAATAAATAAAACCAGCATGTAATTTCACGGCGTCTTGGGTTCCATGAGGCCACACCTTCTGTCCTCGTGCCACTGAGGAGGATGGAGAATCCTTACTGCCTGGATTTTCTGGCGGCCATGGGGCCTGGTGGCGTTTTTTTTTGGGGGGGGAATGAAGTAGTGTTATTATATTATTATATATAACGCCTAAGGAATGATTTCCTCGCACTCAAAGACTTTTTTGACTGGGATATGGCCATAAGTACTGCCAGCTACGTCATCGTAACGTTCGAGTGTGAGGATGCCCCAGTGCCTGCCATAGAGAATCCAATGTGAAAGGCGTTGGGGTGCTCGGTTGTGTGTCCTGCGGGCTCCACGCCATATGCATGTCCCCCTTTCTGGTTTCAGCATGGACTGTGGGCGTGCGCCATGCGTGCTTAGAGTCCCCCGCACTATCTGTGTAACCAGAGCCAACATTTACTAACCCAGCCTGCTCCTTCCTGTGCTGAAACCAGGGCATGTGCTCAAACCAGGGTTAGCACTTGCTACCCCATACCTGTTCCTTCCTGTGCTGAAACCACAGCATGCGCTTAAACCAGGGTTAGCACTGGCTATACCAGCCTGTTCCTTCCTTAGCTGAAACCATGGCCTGCTCGTTCCTGTGCTGAACCCACAGTATGTGCTGCAACCAGGGTTAGCACTTGCTAACTGGCCAGGGTTAGCACTTGCTAACTGACCAAGGTTAGCACTTATGGACCCAGCCAGATCCTTCCTGTGTTGAAACCACAGTAAGCGATGAAACCAGGGTGAGCAGGTACTAATCCAGCCTGCTCCTTCCTGTGCTTCTTCCGTCACAGCCGCCGAAGAATGCAGGATGCCAGATTGTGATTATAGTTCGGGGACTGAGTCCACCACCCCGCCGAAGAACCAGGTGCGGAGAATGCAGGATCTAGAGGAAAACAGTGCCAAGGCCTGCTGCAGCCTCCAGAGTTTTCACTGGCAGTGGCAATGGTATAGCTGTGTGTTGAGGAACGTGGGGTTCTTCATCGAATAGGCTAGTAATTGATCATGATCCTATTTTCAGACAAAACCGGGTAAGAGTCCCGGTATCTCAAAGATTTTTTTTCTGTATATGTTCTCAAACATGTTTCATGTTTCGAATGGGACGCTGGGCCCGGTTCCCAGCACGTGCGGCTCCCCACGAATAGAATAGATTGGAGC